TCCTAGTTTTTACTTTCATTATAAATGATCCAGCCACAAAGTCAGGAGGCATGGGGTTGCCACTCTACCCATAATTGGTTTAGTGGTGGACTTGGTAATGTTAGGTTAATGGTTGGACTGGATGATCTTAAAGGTCTTTTCCAACCTAAACGATTCTATGAAATAACATTTTTAAGGTTGAAAGCCTAATATTGAAGGACAGGGGTCGTCTATTGAAATTACTTAACTGCAAAGAACTTTAGGTCCTATCTGAAGAAAAAGAAGTCTGAAAGTTCGAGAATTTTTACAGATCATGATAGATCTACGTGGAGTATCAGTTAAGTACAGATGCTATCCCAGCCAGTATCACAGTAATACTGAACACAGCAGAGAATCTGAAAACAAGGGCACTCAGAAGAACTCAAGGAGTCAGCAGGCCAGACTTGCCAGAATATGTTGAATGCTGTAACACACAGGCTGTACAACAGCTCCCTCATGATCTTATGTCATATAATGCACTTGGGTCCATCCTGCAAGTGCAGTTTCTGTCCCCATGCTCTGTCTATGGAACAACAGTAAGCCTGCTTTTATTTCATATTCAGCACACTGTTTAAATTGAACCTTTCATTCCCTAACAAATGGTAAAAAAATCCACCAAATAATTAATAAAATTGCTTATCCTTTCACTTAGGGCAGAAAGCCTACTCTAGTGCTGACCTTCACACCTGTGAGACACTTGCAGCACATAAGGCTGAAAAGCTGAAGAAAGCAAGAATTCAGAATCTGCCAGAAGTGCAGTCCATGAACTCTGAATGTTCAGCCTAAAAGCGAGGGTAGCCAATGCAGAGCTTTTGAAGTTTGTCATATTCTCACTGAAGCAAACTGCCAGCTGATTTTATTTCTTGAAAAACAGAACAGAAATTGTTTGAGTATATTACTGTTCAACAGATTCCAACCACATAGCCCAGGGGCAGAGGATGGGAAGAAACGATCAAAATCACTGAAAAAAATCTGAGGCACTCATGAATGTAGGTTTTGTTTCACTTTGTTTTCACCATCTGTCCTTTTCAATATACTAAATATTATAGGGAACTGTATGGCTGTAGTTTCAACATGATGGGAACATATATCCACAAAAACCACATGCAGAAAATAATTGAATAATCTTCATCACGAGAAGTTTGTAATAAGAGAAGACAAAGTGTGGCACGCAGGATTTAGACAACTGACTAAGAAAAAATCTGAAAGCCAGAACTGGGAAGAAAGGTGGGGGGTGGAGAAGATGATGCTGGCTGTGGCATGCCATATGGCTAAGAAAATTGAATTGCCTAGGTCAACGTTAACTGAATCAACTTGCACATTAGTCAACAATAATCTAGAAAATTAAAAATAACCTTTAAAAAGGGATTTTTTTTTTTTTAGTGACTGTGTAGAAGAAAAAGATGTCATCTTGGTTTAAGTAGGTTTATTAGATACTGAAATGCTATCAATAGGATGGAATGTATTTTCGCTTGTAGCTGTATTACAGGAGCATAGCTGAATTTCAACATTTTCATGTGTTTCCTTCACACACAGAAATCAGACAAGCAGGGAAGGGAAAGGGTGGAGGGAAACAAACAGGCCCATGGGAACATGTGGCTTCCAGCACAGTTGCACTCAAGTATGTATTTGACTTACCTAAAACGTTGAGCCTGCTGAGCTAGAGGTGCTGGATACCTTCTATTTGGAGAATGGTACAGCTGGGAGAGGATGGCCTGATTGGTTTTTTGGCTTGGATTGTTAGCAAACTTTACAGTGATGGGCTCTGTGGCACCTGGAGGTTTCTGGCCATTCAAGCCCTTGATAGCTTCTTCTGCTTCAATTCGCTTGTCAAACCGGATAAACCCCACGCCCCTTGATACCCCTGCAAAGGGTGAAGGAAGCATATAATAATTAATTCAGAGACTCTGGAATATTAGATGTTAAGATTTGTTTTTCATAACCAATTGCTATCTTAATGACCAACTGCTGTGAACACATGATAATTCTGAGCTTATTAGAACTGAGCTTTTGCTGAAAGAAGTAAGACTTTTCCACTGTAATTTTTTTTTAATTTAACTGACATAAGATACATTGTGTAGAAAGCTTGAAAGGTTGAGGGAAAACACAGTGGAGACAAACACAGTGAGCCAAAGGGTACTTCTGAAACAAAGCAATTTTGGGAGGGATGAAGGTGAACCCAGAACCAGCTGCACTGTAACCTCTGTTCAGTTCGTGCTGCTCTGAAGTATCTAAATTCACAGAAATTCTGTAAATAGCTTAGTCATCTGCTCCCCAGCAGCAAGAAATGGCTTATGCTCTCCTGCAGCACCCCTTGAAGTTCCCTTTGGCGCAAATATGCTGAGAGGACAAAGAACAGAATGCAGGTTCTAGATCGCAGTAATGGGAATTATGGCCCTGTTCCATCAGTCCATAGTTACCTCTAAGTAAATGATTCAGTTTCAGCATACCACCATACTTTTGTAGGTGTTACTTGTGAAGGAAACTTTTCTTGGGCCATAGATTCTTCACGTGACAGGAAAAGGCAAAATACAGAAAAGTCAAAGACAATATGCAAGGGGATCAGCAAGTATTTATGGAAGATCTTAGGAATATTGCACCTCAAAAATCTATACCGTAGCTTAAATACAGAAACACTGAGGTGTCAAAAATTGAACCAATTAATATTAAAGCTACTACAGCCAACACTAGTTGCATGTTTTGTTGTAATATTCCTAAATCCTTTTATTTTGGGTCATGAATAAACAGACAAGATAGACACTTGTCCTCACTTAAGACATTGAGAACAAGAAATGTATTCTGTTCATCAACAATGATGACTTAAACCATCAAAGTGATAATGAACAGGCGTAAGAAAGCTTTAGAGGCAAACGTTACAGCTTCAACTTTGCATTTTTCATCTGTCAGTTTGTGTCACAACCTTATTATTCATACCATTTGACTCTACCTCTTCCAAATTACTAAGAAGGAGGAGGTAAGAAAGCTTAAACCTGAACAACAGTCCATGCCAGAGAACTACTGTGCACATACTAGGATTTATGAGTACTTAGGATTAGAGTACACATTTAAAAGTTCAATTACATTTACTTATTTGGCCCATTTGCCAAACCCCACCATTTCTATGCATGAACATACAGGAACATACTGTAAACAGCTATTAATTGCACAAAGACTGAAAATTTGATCTGCAAACCTGCTGCTTCTACAAGTTGCTATTTGGCTTTTAGCTTTCCTTTCCCTGCCTCTGTACACTCTCACCAACTCACACTATTAAACCACTCCATAAGTGTTATGTGTCAATATTGAGATTTCTGTTACCATAATGGAATTGTGAAGTAGTACATACAAGGTCCTCTACAGCTCAGCCAAGTGTTGAACGCTAGCATGCACAATCCTTTCAAAGTAAGACCATTTGAAAACTTTATGACCTCCTAGAGCTGAAAGTTGTTTCTCACCCACAATGACATGTGACTTCGAAAAGGTAAAACTATAAAATCATCCAAACTAGCTTATTATTCAGGGAATAATTATGTGAGTAAATTAATTCTTCCACCCCACACCCCTTATTTTTTGGAAAGATGAGAATTTGGAGAACCCTGCTCCTTTGTATTTTGCTTTGCACACTCAATACTTCTGTTGTGTACTTGGCATTCCATTTGATTGCTTATTTTTGGAACAGGCCCACTGGAAGCAGGTGAGGCAGCAAATTATAAAGCTCCTCAAGATCAGCCATTTGAGACAGCAAACACACATGCATTACTGTCCAAGTCTGAAGAGTAACCACAGAGTGTATCTGACACCCACTCACTGGTTAAGACACATACTGTAACAATGCAACTAACCTGCTACAGCTTAGTTCTCTAAGGCAGTGCTAAGCACAGAACTTAACCTGCTCTGAGGACTCAAAGTTCTTGTTCTTCAGTGTGCCCAAAGTTAATGAGGCAACCTTGAAAACAGTCTTAAAAGCAATTACCAGTCCGGGTCTTTTGTAATCCTAGCCTCAGAGAGCCAGCTGTGCATTTCTGCATAGAATTTTATTTTTATAAAAAAAAGTGTTTAATAGCATTTCACTAGGCGCATAGGGACTATTTTCACACAGCAGCTTGGAAAGGAAGATTATAGCAGCTGTAAATTTATTACAAGCCATAAAACAGGCTTCAAACCTGCACCTTCAGGGTGGAAATGACTCAAGCTGGCTCAGTACACTCCACAATCTATTTTTGTCCATGCATATTTATGAACAATTCCAGCAGAAAATTGCATTTTCTGGCCTACATACACCTTCCATACATTCCAGAGACAGGACTATTGTACTAAAAGGTGAAATATTTCTTAAACTGCCAGTCCAAAAATGAGAGGAAGTGCAAAACTGCCTACTTACCAGTGACTTGGTCAACCAAAATACGAGAAGTAATAATGCGTCCATACTGGGAAAAGAGCTGTTCCAGTTCTTTCTGGGTCATTGTTTTTGGAAGTCCACTAACATACAAATTTGCATCTCTGATAGAAGCTGAACTTGGTCGCGCATAGGAAACCTTCAGAAAAACAAAGTAAAAAATCCTAGAAATCAAACACTTTAAAAACAGCTGAAATAGGACAGTGTCATTCCTTCTGATACACTGAAATGTTTTTAAGGGCAGCCAGAAAAGTTGTCTTGCAAAGACAGGTAAGTGGTTTTTTTGGTGCTGGGTTCTGTGAAAACACTGAGGGAATGCAACACAGACCACAAAGCAGAGGCTGACTGCATGAACTCATATATAATTTAAGGAGTACTTTCAAATAAAGGAGAAAAGCTAGGTACACACTCCAGCAAGTCTTGGTGGAGAAAAAGTGTTCTCATTTAGCTTACTATGAGATGAAAAAGACAAATATAGGAAGATCCAAGAACGTTTTCCTTTTAATTATTATTAAAAAGCATTAAAAAAAAAACCAAGGAAAAAAGATTTCACTTTGATATCTAGGTCAAAACCACAGAAAGACAGTCCAAAGCACTCAGAGGTTTGCAAGTGTTTTTCAAGTGCTGTGCCCTTTGTGCATGTGTTGAGCTTGCTATCAAACAACACACAATCATTCCTGAGGTCAAGATAAACTCTGCTACATCACTTTTATAGGCCTAAGAATGAATAGCAGTAGTAGGAATGCAACTTGCATTTTGGCTGTTCAGCAGCTTGCCAATTTCTGCCACGCAGGTCTTAAAACCAAATGCCAAGTAATAGTGAGCTTCTCAGGTTCTTCTGGACACATTTTTAGCTGCTGCCTCAAAGTGTCAGTCAGAAAAGATTATCAATTAGATTCTTCAACCTTTAGACACATGCTACAAAAACAGCATGTTGAGGAGTTCAGTACCTCCCACTGAAATCCGTACAAGTGGTTTATCCTTATTACAGGAAGGTTAGAACAGAACATCCATGCTTGTGGAAGAGGACAGAACAAAATACTTTATTTGGGGTTTTCACTGTACGAAACATAAAGGTAAAAAGGAGCCTCAAGAAGTGGTCAGATTTATCTCTTTTCCTTTCCTCCCCGCAACGCAGGATCAGCTAGCTCTGGGCAGCTGGAACTTAACTCTGTAATGCATCTTTTGCCTAATCCTTTAACATTTATATTCAAATCCACTCCCTGTCTCATTTCCATACAGATCAGCAGACTCTCAAGACTCCTGCGGCAGCAAAACAAAAAGGACAATTGAGATAGAGCACTCCAGAGACTAAACAAGCAGTACCCTGAACACTGCTGTGACTGTTAGACACTCTACCTAGAGGCTTTGTGCAAGGTATCTTCCAAAGCTGGCTGAACAGGGCTGACCTACAAAAACTGTAGCTGTCCAAGATAACACACTATCCAACAGAGCCACAGTGCCTTGCTCTTTTAACGTGAGAGCCACACAAGAGCTGAAGACCTGTGTTCAAAGTACTTAGTGTCTTCTGATCTCCCACACAGGCAGCTGGGAATAACCTCAGCTTTTTCTCCTAATTTACTCCTTTTTTGTGGAGATGTGCAAATTCAGTTGTAATAGAACAGCTGCCAGTGTCCAGTTTTAGAGCAGGAACAGAATTTCCCAGTTTCCATACAGTTTGTTTCAACTCCAGTAAAGCCACAGAAGAACAGTTTATTGTCCACTGGAGCTGAGCCCACTGAATTAAAGATTACTTAGTCCTCTTTCTTCTATGTCTCCTCACTTTTTTATACTATTAGAAATATGCACTAGGGAATTGTCCACAGAAGAGCTCATGGAAAATTACCACCGTCAACATGCCAGGTAGAAAGCCACAGACCATTTAGCAAAAATGGATTCAGTGTCTATGATGCTAAGCATGAAAAAAAATAACCAACAGAAAGACAAGACCCCAACAAATACTAAAAAATATTCCTGACATCTGGTCATGGCAGGAATCTGCTATGTGACTCTGGACAAATCTTTCCACCTCAGCTCCCCATGTCCTAGGGACCTCTTCTATGATCCAGTCACATACACTGACAATGGGTATTTTCTAGTAAGTTTTTTTTTTTTCTTTAAAAATGTCTTTGATATCTCTTGTGATTTTTTCAAGATACAGTGTGAACAGAAAATAGTAGTTCATTTTGTAGACTAACTGAATTTTCTATTTTGACTTGATTCTTGCTATTTGAGAAAGACAACATAGGATTATTCCTAGAAGACAATTATCAACACACATTATTATTATTATTCACACAGCAGGAGTGTTCAGAACTTAAGTGCCTGCAACTCACCATAGGAAGCCCCTCTAATGACCAGAATTGTAGTAGTAAAAAGTGATTATGGCCATTTTCCATCTTCGTAACTAATTTATTCATATGCTGAGCAGCACCACTTTAAACTACAGCAATAATGGAATCTTGTAAACTACTGGAAACAAGACACCAGATAACAGATGTTGTAAGAACAGCAGTCACATTCCTGCACGTACAGAATACTTGATTCCCAAGAGTCTTTTGCAAGGTAGATGAGAAATTTAACAGGTCCTTCAGGAATGGCAAATACATAATTCTGATTTCTTAAAACTTGCTAGAGTAGATTCAATAGTCAAGTCCAAATCTCATCAGCAACATTAGCTCTTTCAGAGGAAGAAGGAAAGGAGAGACCCTACTGTTGTATCATTTTGCTGCTTTTGTTTAACTAACCATGCCCTTTCTTTAGATGAGTATTTGCAAAGTCAAGGGCAACTATCACCACTGGAACTACAGAAATAAAGATGAGGGTAAAGCACAGTCTTGCAAGTCAAAAAGAAGAGGAATCAGACTTCAGCTACCAGCTGTATGGCAGATTCTGACACAGCTGGGTCAAGTGACTGATTTTGCTAGTTCTAGGCTGAAGGGTTTAACACTGTAGTTTTGTAAAAACAGTTTTTTTTTTCTTTAAGTGGTAAATCTGGTAAATCTGCTACCATTATATGGCTGTGCAGCCAAAACCCAATACTTGCAAGTTGTGTTTGAAACCAAATTCTTTTTTTATTCTGTATATTCAACCCTCACACTACATATGCCCATATTTGAAAGAACAGTTTCTCATTCTTGAGTCATTTTCCTACTCTTCTACAGGCAAAAGTATGTACCTATGATATTCCCAGGTGCACAGAGAGTCCGAGAGGCAAGCTGCACCAGAGACAGGAAAACAGAGAGTAAAGCTTGCCTACATTCAGCCAAAGAGGCAGCAAGGACAGCAACAGCTACCAAAGAGGTAGAAAAATACAACAGCTAAGGAATGAAAGAACTTGCCTACTTGGCTATGAGCTTCTTTAGGAAATAAAGCTCCATGCAACACTTAGCAGGATGACCTTAAGGAGATCCAAGGCCAGAGAATGGAGGCAGACTGCCTCGGGGACAGGACTAGACACAATAAAATCCTTAATTATCAAAACCAAGCAGTTCTGAACACCTAAGTAAATGTTTGTTTTCAAAAGGAACCCTTCCACCTCCCCAAATTTAACTCTATATGGTAGGAGGGCACAGCAACAAAGTCCATGTTGTAACTGAACACAATGAACTATTATTAAAGTTTGACACCAATGGAAGCAGCGGAGGACAGGCACTAGTTATAGATAAACTAGATGTATAGCTGCATGCATCATTGGCACATCTCAATTTTATCTATCAGTTTTTAATTCTCTCTGGAATTGAGATGTGACTTACCTTTATATTTAACAAGAAAGCTATGCAACTACTGGTCAAACATTTCACTGAGAAACTCAAAAAATCCCCATGGTTTGCTGAAGATTAAGGAGGTATTGTGGACTTTATGTTAGCTCTGAACTAAGAAAAATACCTGTTACTAAGCTGTTTACTAAGAATTCATTCTTGCAAGCACTCAGAGGTTGCAGAATGTATGCCTCACAAACTCCTTTCAAACTGGACAAAAGAAGTCTGTATGAATAGAAGATACCAAAGGCCTGCCAAACCCCCTAAGCCATACTTTATGGTGATACTGTTTTCCAAGTCTCCAGACTATCCAGACTTTGCTCTAGAAGTAGTTCTATAGATGTTGATATACTAAATAGCTCCATCTTCTAAGAGATCTAATGCAGTTATTGGACTTTTCCTCCAGCCACCCACTGCTGTCAAAGTCGTTCTGATTTGACACATTGGATAGAATAAAACTGAGGAAGTACGATGTGAGCAGAAGTAAGAGTTGTGTTCTTTATGAAGGGAGGAGGACACACACATGAAAAGCAAAAAACCCCTTAAGTCAAATAAGTAACCTGTTACGCAGTGCTTAATACCTAAAACTTCTTTCTTTCCTGGTCAGTGATGCTAAGGTAGGCTAGAAGCGAGTAACTAATTCACAAGGTCTGCCTGATCTGTGGTTCAGGTTCAGTAGTGAGAATGAAATGTGGCACGTTGGGACATGGTTTAGTCTAGTCTACCCTTGATTGGTTTAGTGTGGACTTGGTAGTGTAGGTTAATGGTTGGACTGGATGATCTTAAAGGTCTTTTCCAACCTAAACGATTCTATGATTAAAATTCTCCTTTCTTACCCATACATCACACTGATGGACCTCCCTGGTGATTACCACAGTCCAGCAGCATAGGTGTGGATACCACAGTTCTTACAAAGCAAGCTGCTAGCACAGCTGTATAGGTCTGGAAACCATGTTAATGTCCCTGCCCATCATCTCCAGTGATTGAAGGATCACCTCCAAGCCAAAGCTCCATTCTAGCAACCAGGAAATCAAGAAAAGGCGTCTGGGGGCCTGCTTCGATGAACAAGGGATTAAACTCCAACATAAAAACATGTACAGGATGTGAAAGAATATATAAATGGTGTTCAGTCATGCATGGATGAGGTTAGGAAAGCTCAAGACCACCTGGATTTGAATTTGGTGAGAGATCTGAAGCACAAGGAAAGAGATCTGTACAAATATGTTGGCAGCAAAAGGGAGACTGGGGAAAACATGAACCCACTGCTGAACAGGGCAGGGAAACTGCTGACTAGGGACATGGAAAAGGATAGGATACTTAGTACTTTCCTTGCCTCAGTCTTTACCAGCACAACTGGCCTTCAAGGATCGCAGGCCCA